AAGATTAAACACAGTTTTCTGTGGAGGTCCTGTGGCTTGAAGGAATTGCTGGGATTAGTAGATGGGCTAGTGCACCCTATGTAGTTGACATCAACACCTCTCTTCACCAGTCCCTTGTGTTTTAAAATACAATAGTGACACTGAGAATCCTTTTCTCTTTTGCATTGTGCTTTACAGCTGCCTTCCTTTTGCCCTGGTGTTATTTTAACAGTGTTGGCAATTTTTTTCCCCTAGATAAATTCTTTTCAGAAACTAGTTATTCCTCAGAATACATTTAACTATTTTATCTGGAGGTAAATTAATGGTTATTGTAAACATCTAATTTTATTTTCTGATTTTGATTAGAGGGATTATTTTCAGACCTTTGCATCTTGTTTCTGCTGGAATTAAAACAGAAACATGAGAGAGGTATTGAAGATTTGGGGCATTTTCATCCATCAGCTGTAAAAATTCTCCAGTGTAACAGAAACACAGTAGGAGTTGATGGGCACTGTCAAGATGTGATGGCAAATTTGGTACTCTCAGACTAGCAGTGTTTCTGAGGGGTTTTGGTTCAGTTTGTGCAGCTGTTTGTGCAGGTTTGGTTTGTGCAGGTTTGGGTTTGGTTTGTGCAGGTTTGGGTTTGGTTTATGCAGGTTTGGGTTTGGTTTGTGCAGGTTTCAGTTTGGTTTGGGTTTGGTTTGTGCAGGTTTGGGTTTGGTTTGTGCACGTTGCTGTCCTGGATTCCCCCTGGGATGTTTCCCAGTGAGGTTGGGCAGATCCTGTCCCTGGATCCCTGGCAGTGCCCAAGGCCAGGCTGGATGGGTTTGGAGCACCTGGGACAGGGGAAGGTGTCCCTGCCATGGCTGGGGTGGCACTGGAGGGGCTTTGAGGTCCCTTCAGATGCCTTCCTTTGCAGGAATTCTCTCAGCTGTACCCTGCAGCCATCCTGATCTCCTGTAAGCCAGAGCTCTGTCCCAGTGCAGTGGGTGAATGTGGGGTTCTCTTTGCCATCGTGTTGTTGCTGTGCTGTTCCCTTTGGCTGTTCCTTGCTTCTCCTCCATCCCTCAGAGCTGACAGGGGCTGGGGATGGAACTGGGCAAGAATTTCAACTCGACTTTTGTAGCTACTGAAAGTGTATTTTCTTCTCCCTTAATTGGCTTCTTCCTTCTGCACTAGTGTTCTGGATGAAAAGTGAATTGTTTGTACCTTGAAAGGCTCCAGAAGTGCCTTTCTTACCGTTCTGTTTGACAGGGATGACTGGATGTCTGAATAGTGAACGGGGCAGACTGGCAGCTTCAAGCTTGATTTTCTAAATACTTGTGTTTAAAGTGGAGCATTACACTGACATTTCATGACTATTTGACGTTTAAAAAAAAAAAAAAAAGTCTAATTTCTTTATACTTTATTCTTGGAGTGAAGGGTAAATTGTTGGGCTCTGATATAAACCTGTAGAAGACTTTAGCAAGAGCCTGAGGAGGAAATAATTAGAATATAGTTGTAAACTGTTGCAACTGTAATTTGGTTTAACTAGCACTGCAGTTTAAACTATTCCTGTTTCTAAAAGTCAGTTTTTAAAAGTTGTATTTTACTTAGGTCACATTAGTGTAAATTCAGAAAATAAGTTTTTACAACTCTGGAATTGTAATGCTAATCCACAAGGATGGTTTGGAAAGGTCAAGGCTTGAAATCCCTGAGCAGCACCTGAAATGTTCATCCTGAGGAATTTCTGCAGTGCATTTGCTCCACACTTGCATTTACAGTGTTGTTTTTCATCCAGCACTCCCATAGAATAATCCTGGAATAAGGAATGGAACAGAATTATTCACATGTAGTTTTGAAGTTGTTGGCAGAGGCAGGGGCAGGAGGGAAGGCAGTGGTGGGGGTTCATGGGGGTGATGACTGTACCCCACAAAGCTCTGCTCTCCTGCCCCACTGAGTGCTTGATTTTTCATCAATGACTCGTCATTTATGTTGCAAGAAGATGGACTTTGCTGAAATAAATCAGGCATAGCTCCCTGAAAGACCTGATGAGAATGCAGGGTGTCCTTGAAGCCTCCTACCTTGAGAAATGGTCTGATGGAGCCAGGGGCTGCTTCTCCTGGCCTGGGCTGAAGCTGTGGGTGCTGCCACTTCCTTCCCTGCCAGGGCACCTGCAGCAGGGTCAGCCTGATTAATGTGCCCAACAGAAGTAAAACAAATGGAAAATTTTTTTAGTTTATACGGTACACTCATAAATATTAATGTACTTTTGTATTGAATTGCATGCAATTACGTATTTATACATTTAAGTCACCTTCCTGATACACTTAAGGCACTTTACTGATGGAAGATATCTCTGAAAGAGATGGTTTTAAACTGTGCCTAATATGTTTGTAGGATTTACTTAATAATGTGTGGGCTTGTATGCTGGCAGGAGAGGAGAAAAACCTCCATGAGAGACTGAAAGTGTTCCAGGGCTCTGCTCAGGCTGAATCCACTCCATGGGTAGCTGCTGAAAAATACGTCTCGACATGAAATATTACTACATCTCCTTATCTATGTAGATAAGGTCTGTGCAGTCCTGTCACCTTAGAGTAATTACAGCTTATTACTCTAATCATGATGATGCCTGAAGTCTGTAATTAAGATTGTGCTGGCTAATGTACTGGCACACGGCGTGGTACAGCTATTGTCCTATCTAAACATGGGAAAGATAAAAATGGGGTGAGGGAGAAAGGGCAGCAAGTGGAGAAGTGATTTATGCTTGGTTCCCAGCCAAGCAGTGTCTCCACAGAGCCCAGGGGCTCCATGGGGCAGAATCTGAGACGATCCCAGGCAGTTTGCACCCTCAGACACGAGCAGAACACCCTGGGAGAGCTCTATTCAAGTTACTTTTAATGCATCTTGTCCACCTATGCCTAAGTTTTATTCTTTCATCATGTCCTCTTGCATGTCCTCACCTAGTCTGCAGATGAAGAATCTAACACAAATTTCTATGTACATATCTATTTCCAGGCCAAGTTGTGTCTCTTGAAATCCATGAGAGGTTCCTCAGAAAGAGTTTGATCCCCAGCACTCTGTCCTTTTCCCCACGGTGGTGACAGCTGGTGAAAAGCAGACAGCTCTTCTGCAGGAACAGGGCTGTCTGAACACCAATCCTTATGGGGTTTTATCTGTTTAATCTTTAACCCACCCACCAAACGGGGTTTAAGGCCTCTTTCACAAGTTACACACGTCTGGAGCTCCTTGACCTCTCTCTGCTTGTGAGCAGAAGAGGAACATTCCTTAATTTTGAACATTCCTGCCAATCCTCCTGCCTTGGAAGGTGCCTTTCCATCCAGGTTGGGGAAGGCTTTGTGGATTTGGTGCCACTCATCTTGGCCACAGGTGTGTGAGCAGATTCCTTCCTCCCAGTTCCTCTGAGCTCCACGTTCTTTAGGTGTCTCTGCCAACCTGTGGAGCCTCATGGTGTTGTCTGGAGCACGAGCTCTGAGGAAGGCTCCTCCAGGCACATCCACAGGGATCTGCTGGGTCTGACCCATCTCACACCCCCTTACAGCTAACAGGAACAAGCTTTTTCTTGATGGAAGTGCCTGGCCTCATTAGACATTTGCTAAGCTTCTGGAAGCCTGCCACTGTTTCATTTGGACCACTCACAGCTGGGGGAGGGAAAATCTCACAAAAGCTATTTAGTCATTAGAAGAATTTTTTCTCCCCCCGCCCCCAGAAAGTTTCCCCTTTGTTCTCTCCTTCAGCCTTTCACATTTAGAGTGAATCCTCTTGAATAGCATTCGAATTTACAGACATGAGCTCTGTGTTTTAACAGAAGTCTTTGCTGGTATAATATTCTATTCATAAAACACTGGATTTTTTTATTTTTTTTTATGCTGACCTAAGAAAAAGGATTGTTAGCAGCATGATAGAAATCCTAAGTTACAAATCAGTTCTAAGAGAAAATATCTGCTGTTTTATAACCTGCCCTTGCCATCCAGGAGGTCCAGGTGTGTTTGTGGATGCTGTAGTTTTATGAAGCTGTTGATGGGAAGCACTGGTGAAATGGTTACTGCACCTGAGAATTTGCCTTCCTGCATTTATGGCATGCAGCTAAACCTAAAACCTTCCTGGGAAGGGAGGCAGAAGGAGTGCTGGGAAAAAAGGGGTTGTTCTTGCTTTTAATTTCCTTGGGCAGCTCCATTGGATCCCTCAGCTTGTGCACAAGGAGATGCCAGAGCAGTTTAGGAAGATGAGTGCCACTCCTGAGTTCTTCAGTGGAGCCAGGGAGGTACCAGGGAGCAAACACAGGGGGTTCTTCAATTACTAATCCTGTGCTGTAGCTAAGGATGCTCAAATTCTCTTTCATGAGGCTGGATAAGGCTCCTAACATTCTGGATATTAATAACACTGTGAAGAAAAGCCCAGGGTATCTCTTGTGGTGTCCTAGGTGAAGAAAAGATAGGAAAAAAAAATGTCTTATAGCTTCTGTTCAGTGGTCCCATCTTTAATGCCTGTAAAATCGTTCCCTTTGCTAAATATCAAATTTGAACAATGACTGTCTTCAGTTTAATTAATCATCCCACTGGTTTCAGTTATGAATTTTGTGAAGCTCTCGTGTTTTAGAGAGTCATTTAGGAAGCAGTCTTTAATTAAAGCCAAACTGCTTTTTTGCCTTTAGGCATGCTTTTTTTGCATTAAAAGGTGCCAATAATACAAATTAAACTCTCCTGAGCCTCAGTCTTCACGTGACACAGGGACCAACAGCCCTTCCTGCCATCAGTGATGATATTAAATGACAATAAACAAGAGCTGAAAGGCTCACAGGATTTCATGGAAGCTTCTGGCCCAAGCAGGGACGTTAGCAGAGGGCACTGAAAGCAGGACCCTGCTTCTGGAACTTCTCCTCACAGGGCAGCAGCAGAGCCCAGCGTGGGCAGTTCTGGGAGTAGATGTGACTCAGCACCTTGCATTTATTGGATGCAGAATCTGCACTGTAATTAACATCTTCTCTCTCCTAATGAATTCTCCTCTTCCTCTGCCTTTAAATGTGTGCTGTTGAAAAAGATTCATCTCAAGTAAGGTTTATCTGAAGTGAAAATAGGAGTTCTGTGTGTTGCAGGTTATTTTTAAGAAAACAGCTGTGGGCTAAGTGACAAAACTCGCATTTGTGTTACAAGAGAGGAGTATTTCTTTATAGACAGACATTGATTCTGGGGGTTAAAGGGTCAGTGACAAAGTTTTCAAATACAAGCTGCTTTTTTCGTGCACTTTTCACCCCTCTCCCTGAGATCTGGAAACCAACTGCTTAAATCAGGCTGGAGGGAAGCGTGCCCTGAAGTCAATGGAGATTCATTTGCCCTAATTGGATTTAGGTCAGCTCCTGCCTTGGCTTCTCAAATACAAGAAATAATAAGAATAAATATTGAAAATTCAAGCATTGTTTAAATCAAAGCAGATTGTTATTTTAAGCATTATAAACAAAAGGTGTCTTCTAAATGTGTGCTCTCTTGATACATGAGGTGCTTGGGAGAACTGAGGTTGCTTGTATGAGGTCTCAAGGGGGATGTGTCTCCTTCCATGCACCCAATTTTATTTAGCATTTTGCTGTCTTTTGATTAAGGGGACATCAGTGAAGAGTGGGTTTGTTCCTTTTCTGGTGACTACAGAGTGCTTTGCTGGTCACCTGGAACCAAACCAGAGCTGTAGAGTTTGACCACTGCGTTTTCTCCAAAAACACCAAAACCAGAGTTTGACCACTGCGTTTTCTCCTCCCTTTGCAGAAGGACATAGCTCTGAAACCTCAGGAACGTGTGGAGAAGCGACAGAATCCTCTAGCCAAGAAGAAACGGGAAGCACTTACCAATGGGCTGTCATATCTTCCAAAAAAGAACAGACTCCACCACCACCAGTACAGCTCCGACCGGGAAAATGACCGAAACCTGTGCCAGCACCTTGGGAAAAGGAAGAAGTTACCAAAGGGCCTCAGACAGGTGGGGGACAAGTTTCCTGCTGCGGGGAGGGAGGGCTCTGCCCGTTGGCTCATGGTATGTAGAAGCCAATTTCTCATTTTGTGGGATCACTTATTTTGTTATTTTAATGCTTTTGTATTTGTTTTGTTGTTGGGCGTGATGTGGAGTGTCCTACCAATGGCAGAGGTGGATTGAGAGGGAGAGCAAGTGGTGATTAATGAATGTTTAAAGGTGGGAAGAGCTTTCCACAGGCCGGCTGTGAGACTGTCAGGGCAAACAAATGGGGTCTGTCTGTGATTGTGAGGCCAGCTTTGTCCTATAAAGACCTTCTTGTCATCAGGCTTTGTACACAGAAGAGTCCTCTGAGCATCCAGGGTGAGGTGAGGCAGTTGTGAGAAGGGCAGCTGTTAATCCAGGCAAAGCTCTAAGACTGATGAGAGTGTGAGGAGCTCATTTGTGAGGTGTCAGTGGTGCTGGTGTCTGCTCCCCTGGGTTACTGATCACCTGCCCTAAGCAAGAACTTCCCAGCAGTGGTGGAAGTGAGCAGGCAACATCCAGGACTAAGCAAGAACTTCCCAGCAGTGGTGGAAGTGAGCAGGCAACATCCAGGATTGCAAAGCTTGAGGCTGAAAACGTTGGGTTTGTCTTCATGACTGTGCAGTGTTGTGTTTGTGGTGTTTTTTTAAAGATGAGAGTGTCACAAGTGTGATTTCTGTGATGCTGATAAGTATGATTTCTGTGATGCTGATAATAGTACACAGTAGTAGTGACTAGGTCAGCTTTGCCTGTTGATTTCTGTGATGCTGATAATAGTACACAGTAGTAGTGACTAGGTCAGCTTTGCCTGTATTTGAGTGATATTAGTGACTCTTGAAGCAGAATTTAAACGTTTAATGGAGATGGTTGATATTCATGGAATCAGTTTTCATTCTTGTTTAGTGTAAACCAAACCTTGCTTTGCAGAGAAACTTGTAGCAAATAGTGAGAATTCACTGCTTCTCATTTTGTGAGTTAAGGGAGATGGAAGGAACATTGAGGATGACAAGTATGCTGAGTTGTATTCAATTTTGATATGCAGAGTTAGAGAAGCTGGGAAGAAATAGGTTTTCATGATGATTTTGAAGCCTGTGTGTTAAGCTGTATATAGGAATATAGTAAGAAATTATACAGTACTTTAGCAGAGCAAAGAAATTGTAAAATGCCTGTTCCACACTGTTAAAGGTGTTTCTTCTGATTTAATTTTCCTTGGTATTTCAAAGGAACGTGGGGAAAACTCTTTGGGATAGTTGATGCAATGATTCCATGATCAGTAGATATTGCTGTGACTGTTTCCTGTGGTCTCTGTTCAGTTTTGGTGTGGCAGATGTGTCTGCTTTGGGCAGCAGAACTGACTCTGTGCACTGTGAGCTCTGCCAGTGAGCCCCAATGTCAGGTGGAACCTTCCTGCCCAGAATTTCACCTGTGAAGGAAATTGGCCTCCCTGCTGACGGAGATTATTTGTGAGACTGTGTTTTTGGGAATGAATATGCATTGGTTTGGAAGGTATTGAGTTGACAAATGTCATGGAAAATGCTTTTCTTTTGAGCTGATAAATCCGAGTACTCTGCCTAATTCCTAAGGCATAAGACTGAGAGGAAATAAAGTATCTTGCTCAATATGAATGTGATATTTATGATACCAAACATTTGGTGGGGGTAGAGCTCCTCAGATAAGAACATTTGAGTCTTATGAACAGTGTAGGTGCTGACAAACCCATACAGCTTTGGCACTTAACATGGAAAAAAGATGTCATGGAAAAGACTGCAAAGTTCTTTGGAAAGACATGCTCACCACCTATAGAAAGAGTTTTGGGTAAGCATTTTCTGACCTCTTTCAAGACAAATGGTGAAGAGCACAAAAGAAGGAGGAGATTGATAAGTTCTGAGCATGTTTTTTTTTTTTATGATCATGTTATGCTTTTCCTCCTCAAGTGACTTGTGGCTGCACACCTTGGGTTGCTCTCCCCACCCAGGTCCATCCCACTGAATCCCTGGGCTCCTGGAGGGGAAGCAGATTTGCAGATTTGCTTGTCAGCCTTCTCAGACAGCAGTGAGCCAAGAACTGGGGTCACTGTGGTGTGTGTGTGACACAACAGGAGTGTCTGGAGCCACTTAAAGTTCAGGAGGCTTCTGTATGCAGACAGTGTCCTCCCTACATTAGGGCTTTATATTTGATACATCAACAATTTATCCTGCCTGTCCTGTCCCTGGGGGAATGGGGAATTGTCACCTGTGATTACTGGAACTGGGTTGCAGGATGCAGTCTCAGAGCTGTCACTTGCATTCCTGTGCTCTCCAAAGACCTTGGCTGCAGTCTGTCCTCGCTGGGAAACATTTTATACCTGGAGATCTCGTTCATGGTTTTACCAGGGGCTGACAGTCCTGCTGGATATGCTTTCCTGTGAAATCTCTTATCTGCTGGAAGTAACTCTCACTGCAGGATTTAGGGTATGAAGTTCCCTTGTCAAACAGATTTAGTTGAAGTCAGCTATTGAAAGCATTGCTAATTAGTTTTCAGAGAAAATCCTTGCAGTATTCATGCAGGTATTTATCCAGCTCTGCTGAAATGCCTACAGGTTTATTGAAATCCAGAAAATGTGAAACTGTAGGTTAATTAAGGCTCATATTTTACTAGCGAGAAGACTTTTGAACTCTGCTTTGTGAGCTTTTATAAATGTACTTATTAAATGCCTCGAGGAAATTTTAGTTGGCGTTAAGCAAACATAAGACTCATCAGAATATTTCTCCAGCGTTTTAAGTTTAATTTCCTTTACGTTAATTGGTGATGGCATGTTTTTATATGCTTTCTGTAAAAATCATTTGGAAATCTTAAAGTGAACATTTTTAAACTAGTAAAAGGGTGGCAAACATTTTTAAATGGGTTTTAATGAGATTTTATTCCTCGAGGTCTGAGCACATACCAGGAAACAATGAGCTTCCAGGGCCGAAGGAGGGTAGAGAGTATTTTGATAATGAGGGAAAGGATCATTTCTCTTTGTTCAGTGGGTGTGTGATTTGGAAAAGAGCAGAAGACACTGACTTTTGCTACCTCCACCATTTCCTTCACTGTTTTTCATCTGCTGGGATGGGTTCTTGCCTCTTCAAGCAGAAGAGGATCATCTCTGGATATGCTTCTAAACCAGCAGAGTGTGTGTTGGGCACGGGGTGCCTTGGCTGGCTGAGGTGTGTGTGAGTGTGTGGCTGCTGCCTTCACCACCCGAGTCCAGAAATGCTTCCAGAATATCAAATCCCAAGCCCAGATACTGCAGGAGTGCAGGGAAGGAGACAAATGGTAATAAATAGGAGGCGGATGATAAATAGAGGGAAGAAAACTCATGATGGAGAAATGAATTAGGAGGTAAACTGTAATGAGATAAAGGAAAAATGGGAAGAGCAGCAGAAGAAGATACACTTCTGAGTCTGGCAGGCCCCAGCTACAAGTGTTATAAACCATTGTGTTCCCCTCGTAGTCCATTACATGAATCAATTAAAGGGGAGGGAGGGGAGTGCTGAAGCTGTTCCTTCTCAGAATTAATTCCACCATCCCCTTGGCAGTCTCACCCTGAATCTGTGCATCCTAAATTTAAGCTTGGGTGGCTGATGTGGGCAGCCAGTGCTGTCCTGTGCCACCATGGCTCGAGAGCCCCATGTGTTTCTGTGTGTTTAGTGCCAGCACACTCGTCCCCTGCTGCAGAGGTGCTCGTGTGCCCCAGTGCAGCAAAGCTGCGCTGCAGAGGGTGCATTCTCCGTGGGGCTGGGCTGTCCTGCAGCCAGGGGAGCTGGAGCAGGCTCTGGAGGAGGTTCTGGCAGCTCCCCGGCCTGGGAGCGCAGCAGATGGGCTGGATTGTCACTGTGATCCTGGGGACAGCTGACTGTGCTGACAAGCCATTTACAATGTGCTATTTACAGTTTGGGTTTGCAGGCTCTCAATGACATCTGAGTGCTCTTTAGCGACTGCTTTCATTACTACTTTTCTAAGAGCTGCTAATTGAAAATGAAATTGTGGGTGGGCTCTGGGAGTGCTGTAGCAGCTCCAAGTACAGTACACAGCCACTGAGAGCTGCTCCATTTCTTGGACTCCCTGCTACAGCTCTGTGCAAGGGAAGAAATGGGGATATATTTGTGCAGTGTGAGGTCAGACACCTTGGAAATCCTGCCTACAGCATGCATCACCTGGAGTGAGTGATAAAGGCTTGAACCTCCTTGAACACAGCTGCTGGGATTTGGGATTCCTTTACTGGCAGCCAGTGGATTTCAGTGACTGTAAAACTTCTGAAGATCAGGAAAGAAGCTGGGCTGTGAAACTACCTCGTGCAGGGCAGCACAGGGGATTGGAAGCTGTGTGTGGGATTTTTGGGCTGGTTTTGCACTGCTGGAGGTCTGGCTTTGTATGAAGTGACAGGAAACATCACAACTGAGTGGCGGAACGTGGGACAAAGTCACCTGCCCTGGGAGTGGTACCAGCCAGGATCGGATCAGCAGGGATATGGCCACACATTGATGGAAAGAGAGATAAAATTCCCATTCCATATGTAAAGGGAGAAGTTGCTTGATTTAGGGATTTTTTCAGAGTCCAAGTGCTGGTGCAGCCACACTTTGAGAACCCTTTGTAGGACAGAAAAGGGGAAAGGGATGTGTGGGGTGCAGAGGTGCAGGCTGGTGTGCAAATAGAGGGGGATGCTTAGAGAGAGGGGGCAGGTTTTGTGAGGGAACACGCTCTGCCTCTGCTGATGTCCAGCTCACTTTATCCAGTCCACCATGTGCCGTGGAAATGCCGAGTGCTTGTGCTGGCCCGTTGGTAATTTCACCCTTGGCAGGGACCCACACTTTATTTTCACACTTGCACAGTGTGTAGATTCCTATCTGTGTGGGAGCATGTGCTGAAAGCTGGGCTGCCATTCAATCCTCGTCTCGTTTCCCGTTTGGAAAGCGCCCTGGGTGACAAACAGTGCTTGAATTACAAGCATTTTGTGATTCTCGACT